TATAACCTTATTATGTTATTGTACATAATTCATATTATCTCAGAGATTGGGAGATTCATTTACGATTGGTTGTATTATTGTTTTCAGACTTTATGTATAAAATATTGATATTCAGAGAAATTTCTCAGGTTTTGCTAGTTATCTTTCTTCCTCCTGTTGGCTTATGAAAAAGTTGAGACGGAATTAAGGAACTTCAGAGAGAGATTTTACACAATGTATTGTACATATATGGTTATGTTCGCAAAATATCTAAATGAAAATTTTCATTTTGATGAAAACGCATGCGCTTATTATCTTCAATCCGCCTTTAACCTGTGAAGAAATAAGTATATCATACCTATGAATGCGCTAATGCTTTAATTCTCATAAAATAGTATATAAAGAACTTGTATCGCACACATTTTTATTAAAATAAGGAACACAAATCAGTGTTTAAAAAACATTGCGAATATGACTACGATTCATAGGTATAGAACAGTTAAATGGTAATTATACCCCTATCTAGTGGACATGAGGTAGAGTTTTTTTGCGTGGGGTTGATTTGATTCTAATATTATGGCACGTTTCAGACTCTGCAATCTACTTCATCTAAAAAAAAAGTTTCAAACATAGGCAAAATATCGTTAAAAAAAAGCGATCTAGTTGACGGCTTTCAGCTAAACTGTATTTAGGTTTGAACCAAAAAACTATTTCTTCTCGAAAATATAAGATTAATATCTTAATAACTTAAGGTAGTTGGATCATGCGAACAAAATTTCAAGAAACTTTCGAAATTTAAAATATAATTAAATCAGACATTATAGTACATTTCCTTGCCAAGTTTCCCACCTTCAGACAACTCAGAGAAAAATACTTGGCAGAATGGTTTGACGAGGAAGTTACCCATCGCCTTTCTTTAAAATTTTTAAGTTGGGGTGCCCGGATAAAAAAATTTATATATAATTATATATACTGATATGTTATTATATATATATATATATGATTCAGAATAAAAAAACTTTTTTTTTTTTGAGTAAATACATCTAAAAATCTTGAAAATTGAGCTGGCGCATGGGGGGGGGGGGGTCCCCTTTCCCATTTAAAATACATTGAAAAAAAAACTTTTTTCTGTATTTTCATTGTAAATCGTCGAAAAAATTTTTTTTTCAAATTTCCCTTTTTAGTATCTTGTAGGAAATTAAATTCTCTACAAAAAAAGTCTCTTTCATTTTTTCGTTAAAATACATAGGAAAAAAGTTACAGGGCTTTAAAAAACGAAAATTATAAAAAGTCAAAAATAACTTTTTTTTTATTTTTCGACAACAATTTATTTTATTTCGTAAAATTCTTTACTTAATTTATCTATATTCAGTCTGTCAATTATATCTAAATTTGATCTATGTATAGAAGAAAAAAAATACATTTATTTATATTATATAAATAAATAAACTCTTTATTAATTTTTTTATATTATATATGGGGCATTCCATGCCAAATCGACCACTTTTTGAACCCGAACCTTTTCGATTTTTCTGAAATTTTGGTATCTTTCTCTACCCTATTGAAAACAATTTTCAGAATTTTTTCAAATTTTTTTACCCAACCAAAAAAAAGTTACAAGTTATTTAAAAAAGATAGCTTTTTTTTATTAAATAACCATAACTTTTTTGAAAATTAACTTATTGGGATGAATTTTTTATTGAAATTTTTCTTTTTAAATGTATTTTTTAGAAAAAAAATGAAAATAATAATTCTTATTCAAAATCAGCGTTTTTTTTTTTTGAAAATTTTAGAAAAAAATGAAAATTTCGGGATGATTGACATTTTTGATTTTTGATTTTTTTTTTGTTTTTATAAAAAACCAGTATTTTCTGCGAATTTCCTGAAATTTTCAGTGGTATATTTTTTTCTATTTTTTTTTTAGAAATGAAAAAAAAATTTGTTTTTATATTTTTGTTTTTTGTTATACCACTCTGAAAATTCTTTAGCAGATTTTGAAAACTTTAAAATCTGAGAAAAAAAATAAAAAAACAAAAATTAAAAGTGACAATCATCGATAACATTTGATTAATTTTCAATAAAATTAGATAATAAATTAAAAGAAACATTGAATGATTTGTTCGTATTTTATTATTTTCGTATCTAAAAGTTCTATAAACAATAAAAAATTCTATTGTTTTCAATAGGGTAGAGAAAGATACCAAAATTTTAGAAAAATCGAAAAGGGTCGGGTTCAAAAGTGGTCGATTTGGCATGGAATGCCCCATATATAATATAAAAATATAATATAAATAAATGTATTTTTTTTTCTTCTATACATAGATTAAATTTAGATATAATTGACAGACTGAATATAGATAAATTAAGTAAAGAATTTTACGAAATAAAATAATTTGTTGTCGAAAAAAAAAAAAAAGTTATTTTTGACTTTTTATAATTTTCGTTTTTCAAAGCCCTGTAATTTTTTTCCTATGTATTTTAGCGAAAAAATGAAAGAGACTTTTTTTGTAGAGAATTTAATTTCCTACAAGATACTAAAAAGGGAAATTTGAAAAAAAAATTTTTTTTCAATGTATTTTAAATGGTTCTGAATCAGTCTAATATATACTAGAATTGAATTTTGCGCGCGCAAGCTATAGAGTTTGCATATATTTTCATGCTTATGATATATTCGACCAATCACGTTACGAATAGTTTGATGCCACATACATTTCATCTCTATTTTATTATAGGATAATTGTATATAATTATATATAATAATATATAATTGGATGCAGTATTTTTTAATAATTATATATAATCATATACAATTACATATAATTATAGATAGAAAAAAAATTAAATTAAATCAAGAGAAAAATTCTTGAACCAAGAAAATAATTTTGAAAAATTTCATTGTTTTGAATCAAAACGAAAAATTCTTGAATCAAGTAAAATTTACTTAAACTAAGAAAAATTTCTTAGATTAAGAATTTTTCTACTCACATCAAGAAGATGAAGTTTTTCAAAATTATTTACTTGATTCAAGTAAATTTTTTTTTCTGTGTATATAATTGCATATAATTATATAGGGCCATTTTTCATATATAATTATATATAATCTTTTTTACCCGGGTGGCCATTCAGTTAAAAAACTCTTTGCCTTCTGCAAATACTGTTTTAAAATATGGAATCAAAAGACTTGAAATTTATACTATCTTACTATTCTCCACTGTATAATCTGTATCGAGGATTGTATTCTGAAGAAATCAATAAATTATTTATATACGAACTATTATACAGCTGTATATGAATTATTATGAAGCTTCCGTAATAGTTAATCGTATGCTCTTTTTCGGAAAATTAATTTTATGTGATTTCAAAATTTATTAGACAGCATTTGAAAAATGAAATTTCTGAAAATACAAATAACTTAACTGATAAAAAAACATCCCAATGAGATGGATTTTGAAAAAGTTATAGCTATTTAAGAAAAAAGTCATTTTATTTCAAAAAATTCATAACTTTTTTTGGGTTTAGTAAAAAAATTTGAGAAAATTCTGAAAAAACGTTTTTTATAGGATAGGAAAAAATACAAAAAAACTTCGATCCAAATCAAAAGGCTCGAGGTCAAAAGTGGTCCATTTTTTAATTTTTTCCATATCACCAAAATTATTTAAAAAATGTCAAAAGACTCATCCAAAAATAAATACTTTATGTTTAAATAGTTAACCTATAGATAAAAATATGCTGAGATTTATATATTGCATTATAACCAAGCATAAACAAATATTATATTAATTCTGTTTAAGTTATTTTCTAAGATGTTTTTGACTTATTTTATGTATCAGTATTGTCTTTAATAAGAACATAGTTTTTAAAACAAAAAAAAAAAGCAATAACATAAAGCCCTAGCTGATGAATGTGTATCATTGCCATCCACGAAACAACTTACTCTTACATACTTTCTTTTTTTGTTGCGACTTCTGTCGTCCCTCTCGCTCTCACCATCCCTAGTTTCTTAGTAGTTGACTATGAATGACAATTGTTTTAATTAACTATTTATAGTCCTACCAAATATATTTGATATATTTGAATTTTTAATTACATATAAAAAAAATTTTTTACAAATTTGAAAATATACAATAAGTTTCTCAATATTATCGAAATTTTATTAATTTATTTCACATTTTAATATTTATAATATTATTTTTTATGTTTTGTATTTATGTATTTCCGAATACATTTTTACACTGAATTTTTCATATACAGGTACTTTACTTACATTTCTTCTTTATTGTGTTGCCAATAAACGACCAACTGGTACAAATTAATAAAAAATACTGTAAAATATGCACATTTTTAAGCCAATGTTTTTTTTTTATATATATAATTCATGAATAGAAAATATGTTACGGAATAATTTTCTTTGCACGATTATATTAGACTATGCAATAGGCCGGTTTCAAAGAAACCTAATATATTTCATATAAAAACTATTTTGGATTGAATGCAGGTGTTAACAATAATTACATATTCAACTTCCTCGGTTTATGCATGCAATATCTTATTGCGTTTTTTAAAAATCTATTTAAGATTAAAACTTTTTTTAAAGATACATTGAATGATCCTTCTTTAAATATCTTATTTGTTCTCATTAATACTAATCATATAATCATTAGTATTGAGTATTTATGAATAAATGATGTTTACTTGGTAGAAGAATATTTAAGACATCAGTCTACACTGATAGAAAAATCTCAAGTTGGTAATATCTTGAACAGTTACTACCGCATATTTTAATCTGAAAAAAATAAATTCTTGGATGAAGTGTATGTGACTTTTGTTAAAAAAAAGTAAAAAATAAAGTGCTTCGTAATAGCAAAATTTTTCTGGAGAATTTTTCGCTCATCCAAGATTTTTCTTATTGATTTCACTTATTGATTCAAGAGTTAAGTTCTTAAATTAAGAAAACTGAATATCTTGACAGTAGAGTAGCATTTTGAAAAAAATATTTTTCTTAAATGAAGTAGCTTTTTCGTTCAATGTAGATTTTTATCATTTTCAACACCAGAAGAACTTGGACCTGCCACTTGATTATTTGAATTTGTTGAAAATGATGAACTAATATTACTTTTTAGCATCGGACGAACTAAACAGTCCGAAACAAATTGTGGTTGATCTGTTATCAAAAATGATCTTTCACTCTTCAAATCACCTAAGGAATAGCTTTTTCTCTCTAATGGTGAACTCGGTGTGTTTTGATCAGTTTGGTTGTTTACCCAAAGCTTACTAGTTACAACATTATTAAAATTTTGACCAAACCATCCATTTGAAATTTTTTTCTTTTTATTTAAAACACTCCTTATTGAGTTTTTATGATTATTTGTTCTACTATTTTCAGACAAGAATGCGTCCGTTTCTGTACACTGTGACATAGGATCTTGAATAATAGTAGTAATATCGTCACCTAAATCATTATTCTGTCCATTTGTGGATGATGAAGATACTGGTATATTCATCGAAGTTGGTCTTTGAATACTTAGAATTGAGTTCGGCGTGCTTGTGAAGTCATCACAACGAGAAGAACTAAGGTTACTAATAATTGGTAGAAGATTGTCTGGTTGGTAACTATTTTGAACATTATACATTCTTAAGGCACAATATTCATTGAGTTCATCACATGATACATAAACTGGTGGAGGTCCTTCTTCCGATTGTAGAGCCATTATTTCTGAATAAGACGGAGGTTTCGAAAGGCAATCCGTAAACTGTAATTTTCCAGTTACATTGTACATTGTACTCGCTTCTAAACATTTACAAAATTTATATTATCAATGTACTTGTAAGATTCAAAATATGTACAAAATATTACCTCGTTGAAGATCATCTAATGGTCGGTTTAAAGGTCGATCAAGATCATCATGATGATTAGGCACATGTATAGAGGAGGCACGATTTGTTTGACAATAACTATTACGACTTCGTTGATTACATGTCGTACTTATTGCTCGTTTAAATTGTACTCGACAAATAGCTATCGCCAATATTGTAACTATGAAAATGAATGCCATTGCACAACCTGTAACAAAGCATAGATGAAATTTTAAATTTAATTTATATAAAAATAGAAAAAAATTAATCATTTGATATCAATTAATCTTTACCCATAACAACGTAAAATGCTGTTTGTATGTAACTTATTTGTCGGGTTTCTGTTGGCCATACGTGCGGTGCAGAATTTTTACTACAGTTCCGGTGATTGCAACACCATTCTCGTGGAACACATCGATTATCACACATGACTTTACCATGACAAGGATCAGAACCGCATCCAGCAGCTTCACTTTCATCTTCTCCTTCTTCACAATCAGCTTTACCATCACAAAGATATCGTTCCATAATACAATTATTAGATCGACATCTGAACCATTTTGGTCCACAATACCATTTAATTGGTTCTAAAATAAAAAATATTTATCATAATTCTATTCTTACATATAGAGTTATTACGATATTTTTTTACTTACTTTTTTTCACAGACAGTCTGATATTAACAGAAAGATGTGATTGAATGACAGATTTAAATGTAACAGCATTACATGTGTAATTACCATCGTGATCTTCGGATAGATTTTCGAACCATAGCCAAGCTACATTTCGCTTTTGTCCTCTTTCAGGTTTACTAAATAAAAATCATATTTTCGATAACAATTGTATTTGAAAATATCAACCCTTTAATACAAAACTTACGGAATGTAATTGTCATAAAATGGTGTTTTCCAGTCGACAATATAATCAAATAATGTATGATTTTTGTTACCATCATTTTGTATAATCGTACATGTTAAATTTAGCGAATCGTTATTTTTTTTGAAGATATATTTTTGACCCATCTTTATCTCGAATTGAGGCTGTATTTCTATCGCAGCTCTTTGATCAATCGGTATGGTGGCGAATGTCCCATTTATTGACGTAGCTTCTGAAAATTTAAGTTGATAATAAAAGGTTTTGAAAATTCGACTTTTGTTAATTGTGTTATAATGGTATGAGAAAAAATAAAATATAATTTTAAATTTTGGTAATATGATTCAGTCTGCATGGAAATATATGTGTTGAAAGAATGGAGATATTTATTGTATTGGGAATCAACTTTTTGGGAACATTTCCTTTAAAAATTGATTTCTTAAAAATATCAGTGAAAAACGAAATGAACTCCTCTTTTATTATTTTTCAACTAAAAAGAAAAATAAAAACATAAAATTCTGTATGAATTTATAATGACTCATTAATCGGCCGAAAAAAAAAACGTCGATAACTAAATTTTTCGATTTTTGGGGCTAAAAATACGCGGAACCTTACTTTCCGTATAATTACCTAAATTAGTATTATATTAACCAGGTTCAAGGGGTAGGGTTTTCAGCGTAGAAAAAAAATACACTTTAACGAATTTTTTTTAGAAAAATGGTTTGAGTAAATTTATTAAAACCTTTTGTTCATTGTGAAGGATGGTTTCAAAAATATTCGGTAAGATTTTGATGCAAAACTATTCACAGACAAGCTGATGACAGAGTTTTTTTCAAAGTCCTTTTTCTCTACCCCCCCCCCCTTTAAATCGGCTAATTTTGTGAATAATTAAGTTTAGAATCGATAAATTTTATCAACCACTAGGTTTAGAATCGGCAAAATTCGCGTGACCATTTTTTGAATTGACTGTTTATAATACAACCTTGTGCCAAATATATCGTAGTTTCGGATTTGAAGATGTTTTGCTTGTACCTATAATTATTAATTTGAAATATTCTTAATCATTTTCTTCTTTAACTTAGCCATTTTTTAAACATGTCACCATTAAATTATTGCATATAAATTTATCTTTTTAAATTAAGAACCATTTCTAATTATTTCTCTAGTTGCACTCATTGAAAGAAACTACTATCTTCGTTGGACTTGTGAGGTAAATGGAAACTTTGAAATCGAATTTTTCGTTATCAAATGGAAATTCTAGGAATTCTAGTGCTTTTCTAGATAATAGATCTAATAATAAATAATCTATCAAATATCTTAGGACCGCTGCTTTTTATTCTCTACATAAATGATATCTTCGACATATTACCTAAAAATTCTGTGGCTGCTTATGCAGATGATACTGTTATTAAGGGTGTGGGTAAAACTTGGGATGAAGCCCAGCAGAATATGGAGGTGTACTTAGATAAGGTAGGTAAATGGTTATATAATAATTACTTAACACTTAATGTAGATAAAAGTTCTTACATAACTTTCGGATGTTACAGAGATAGTGTTCCTACTAACTTCGAACTATCGATATAAAATCAAACAATAAATAGAGTGAGTAGCTGTAAATATTTAGGGCTAGTATTCGACTGTAACATGAAGTGGGACTTACATGTAAAGGATCTCATAAAAAAAACCAAATTTTTCCTATTTATTTTTTACAAGCTAAAACGGATAGCAGATAAGAAAACACTGAAAGTAATTTATAACACACTCTTTGAAAGTATAATAAATTATGGAATAATTGCGTGGGGAGGATGCTATAAAAAAAATTAGTGGTGATACAAAATAAACTAATAAATGTGATAAACGAGCAAAATAGTTGTAAAATACTAGGAGTAAAAGATTATTTTATAATTGAGTCAATGTGTTACCACTACTCGAAATGCAAAAATGTATATTCTAATTACCAGGGTAAGACTAGAGGTAGAGCAATAAGCATGCCAAAGGTCAACAAAAATATAGCTCTTAAAAACTCTAATTTAGTGGCAATAAAGAATTATAACAAGTTACCAGACAATTTAAAAAACTTACACCTACCAAACAAAGAAATTAGAATAAAGATAAGAAACTGGTTAGCATCTCAAAGATAGATCAGACCTCGATCTCAATATCACGAGTTGTAAATTTTTTTCTACTGTTATAAGTATGGATTACCTTTATATATTTATTACTCTTACTAGTAATGTACCATATATTTGTAAGAGTTCTGAGATGGATGGATGTCAAGTTATGTACAGTTAAAAATGTTATTACTATATAAAATAATGTACTACCAGGCCTATGCACAGATGCTTAAGCATCTCTATAGGTATATATGTATGTATATATGTTATAACCTGGTAAATAAATAAATAAAATAAATAAATAAATAAATATCCGGGCATTTTTTTTATGAATTATTATTTGTTTGGAAGTAAAATGCAAAAACGCGTATTTTAATGAATAAATAATTCATAAGCTATTTCATTGATTTCGATGCCGGTTCATGTTGACATTTTTAAAAAGAAAATACTAGCTTTGTGATATCATTTGCTAAATTCTGTAATAGTACATATGTTGATTAGTAACAACTTACTTGATAAATTTCCGATTAATCCCAGAGTAAATAAAAGTATAATGAAGTTCGACATAATTACACATCATGACACCATAATTTATTAATGTTCAAGACGGATTCCAAACCAGTGTTCCAATACTGATGCAGTGTTGTGAAACTGATGAAAATGATCCATCAGTCATCTAACCTAAATAAATTTTATGACTGTTAAAAAATTTATTATTGGTTTACACTTGAAGTTTTTTAAAGCACTTTTTGTTAAAATAAACTTACTTTATTTTCAATAAAATTGTTGTTTATTATATTATCATGAAAAATATACTGTTTTTAATATTTATGATATTGTTGCTTAAATATCTACAATAGATTGGAGTTTTTATAAAAAAAGGTCAAGTATCCTTGCACTAACAATATTTAGATTGGCAGATTCATTTATTTGTTTCAATCACGTGACTAATTTTATTGTCAAGTATGTTTTTTTAAGAATAATATAGAATTTGGAACATTGTTGTTCAGATTCAGATTATAAACAGTTAATCTTTTTCTAATAAACAACTTTTCCTGATAGCGATTCCATTTAATTGCTAGTTTCTTGACAGGCACATGATAATCTCAAGTTATGAGTATTTTTTAAACTTAGACTAGTTTTATAAGTCCCAGCTGAAGGTCACTACTGCACATTATATAAAATGATACTATATAATACAGTCTTCGTATTTTAATTGTATAAATGCATGGACTATTAAAAATTTATTTTGGGGTTGCATTTGTCGATCTAATAAAAAAAAATTGCGAAATGAAATTAATCTAATTGTATGTTATTTTTCGGAAACTTTATATCATTAGATTTCTAGATTTATTTGCAAAATAATTAGAAAAATAAAGTTCCTGAAAATACATTGAGTACTGCTCAGTCTTACGTTAACGAATATTTCAACAGTTTGGGCTTTTGGGCTAATGAAATATTAAAGAGCTCCTTTCTCGAGAGTAAAAGCTGTCGGTATTACTATTTCTTGATCCGGATTGGATTCGTTATTTCTATAGGTAGCAGCACTAAAAATAATTTTTCGATTGGTTGTTCACTATCTTGGTCTCTTACTGCACTATGGATGTAGTGGGTAAAGTTACTTTTTTGTTGAAAATGAATTGATTTTTTGAATTGGGTTCTCTCAATTTCATATGGATAAAAATTTACTTTTAAGGATTGACTTTTTTTACAAAAAATTTAAATGCCAATAGTTAATTACCATTAGTTGATTTTTTCTTTTTTTGATAACATCTATGATATTTAAACACCTTTTTATTTGTTCATAACTATATGCTTCTACCTGATTGTGAATAAGTGATGAAACTTGAACACTTTGTTCTAATGATTGGTTTGATTTCGGAGATAATACGGTTTTCCGGTTATTATTGAATAAAATAATACGAAAATTTTAAACTACCGCTATTTCAACATGGCATCTGCGCTTGCGCTTGCCAGAGGATGCTTTTCATGTCTATTCGTGTCTTTTCTTGTTTAGGACGTCATCAAGGCACCAATCAAATCATTTGTGTGTTTTGAATTTCAACCCTTCAGTACCCACGTTATTCGGCTCACTTTCTTTACTCTCGCCATGAGAAAAAATCTCACATTTAATTAACATACGATCTAAACAAATATGGCGGCGGAGCGCTTACCGAAAAGAGCCGATCTATATACGCCGTAGGGAGCCGCACAGCTCGATTTTTAACAACCGTTAATACCCTCGTCATGAGAAAAAATCTCGTAGTCTTCCAAAAAAAATTTTTTTTTTATTTGTAATGAAAATAGGAAGTAATTTTTTAATAAACAGTTAAAAAGAATATAAAATTTTCGGAAGGTAAAAAAAATTTCAAGTGGTCTTTCCATTTGAATTTAAAAAAATAATTGAGATTGAAACCGAGAGTGAGTAAAATTCTTATAACGTGGGTACTGAAGGGTTGAATAAATTATTCGGTTGTACATATATACGACAATATTGTTCAAGTAATTAATAATAAACTGCAATGATTTTGAAGGTATCAACTAGAATTACGATATTTAATGTAGTTTTTATTTTTTTTTTTTTTAAACAATCTGGATAGTAAAAAGAAATAAAATTTTTATCTAAAATAGGATTAAAAATAACTACTTCGTATCCTGTTTATAATTTACAATTTTTTTAGGGGAAAGTTTAAAGTTCTTATCATAAAAAACAATTCTATTTGCGGTTTATCCTTATGTGGTGGGAAAAAATTAAATTTGGATAAATTTGATGTATGTAATTCGCCCTATCAATTGTGTGGTATACATTCTTTATTAACGGTACTTAGTTTTGAGGATAGTAACAATATGAACTTTTAGTTATTAAATTATTAATGAGGCATTCGAATATGTTTAGTAGATTGCAAAGAAATAGAACAGCAGCATTTTTTCTCATGACGGAATTTTTACAAAATTTTGCTGTATATTATCGTCTTGCTATATGACTAGTCAAGCTGATTCAGAAAACACGTATCATTCAAAAGTTTATAAATATGATATAACGCGGCTTGTCACGAGACTAGCATCCACAATTCTCAACGGATTCTAATGAAAATCAACATAATTATTTCTTAGACAATTTTCAAGGTCAAGTCCGAAGAACTAAATCGATCAATTCATTGAAAAATAAGAGCAATTCAAAATTTTGAAAAAATACAAAAAATCATACTTCTATAGGTTCTTCTCGAAATAAGTTTCGAATGTGATGACTTATTTTATTTCTGTAAATTGCATCTGAAAGCCCGTGAAATAAGCTTTAATTTCCATATCATTTTATTCTCCTATACAGTAAAAGTAACCTACTGATCTATAGGCATTTGATGAAATTCTACAATTGCATTCGTTTTAAAGATTATATACACAAGTTTTAATTTTTTTTTATTCTATTGCTCTTAAGGTAGTACCATCGCGCAATCCATATTTCACCAAAATTGTGAAAATTTTTTTATCGAAAGATAAATACATCAATAGCTCACTATCAAAATTTGAGATCGAGTTACTACACCGTTTCTAAAAGTAATTGTTATTTTTAAATTGCTTCTTTTACATGTAAAGGTATGGAAAACCGATATAAAGTTAGTATGAAATCTCTTGTACCACACGAGTGATGCAACTAGATGTCATACTGACTTCATCGGCTCTCCATACCTTTACGTAAAATTTATGGGGGTGTTCTCTATAATAAGAAAAAAATTCGCTACATGGAAAGAAAGTTATGGGAAATATTCCTATAGTAGGTAGGAATGGTTCCCATAGTAGTTATAGGAATTATTCCTAGAATATTATAGAAATGGTTCCAATAATGGTGTAGGAATAGTTCCCATACTATTATGGAAATGGTTCCCACAATGGTATATAAGAACAGTTCCCAGGTCATTATGGGAACCACCCTTATGATATTATAGAATATATTCCTAAACCATTATGAGAACCGTTCCCATAATAGTATGAGAACTGTCCCTATGCTATTATGGGAACTATTTCTATATAGTAGTATAGGAATAATTCCTATCATACAATCGGAATTATTCCCCAATAGTATGGAAATTATTTCTATATAGTGTCAAACAAATGTTTATTTCCAGAATAGTGAAAAAATTCTCTCATAATATAGAGGATTGAATGGAGCTTTTAGACAAAAAGTGTATAATAAAAATGTTTTCTGCATTATTTTCTAAATAATATTTTCACAATAGTATAGGAATCATTATAATAATATTATAGGAATCATTCCTATGATAATATGGAAACTATTCTCATAATATTATGGAAATAGTTCCGATAATAGCATGGAAACTATTCCTATACCATTATGGGAATCATTTCCATAATATTATAGGAATAATTCCCATAATGGTATGGAATTAGTTTCCATACCATTGTGGGAACTATTCCCACAATTTATAGGAATAATTCCTATTATTTATTGAGTTCATTTCTATATATTATGAGCATCATTCCTATAATAGTATAGAAACCGTTCCTATAATTTATAGGAATGATTCCTATAAATATAGAAATCGTTCCTATGATATTATAGGTAACATTCCTATAATTATAAGAAATTTTTCTATAATAATAGAAAAATTTTCTATAATTATGGGAACTGATCTCAGGTTGCAGTTTCTATAATAACATAGGAAAAAATCCCGTAAAATTATGGGAATCGTTCCCATATTTTTCTTTCCGTGTACAAGTTTCAGCCCTTACTATTCAGCGGTTCTGGAGTTATGATTTTTTGAAATTTTGAAAAAAAATTTTTAACTTCCCGCTAAAAATGTCAGATTTTCAAAAATCGGGAAGTTATTGTTTTCACCCCGTTTTGCAAAAATCGAGTTTTCATCAGATCTCGACGTTTGAAGGTCACAGGAAGCTTCCCTGACTACCCCCGCGATGTTGTCACTATGTCTGTATGTATGTATGCGCGCGCGCGTGTGTGTGTGTGTGTGTGTGTGTGTGTGTGTGTGTGTGTGTGTGTGTGTGTGTGTGTGTGTGTGTGTGTGTGTGTGTGTGTGTGTGTGTGTGT